TTAATTAAGGGTTAAGTTTGGATCTAAGGAGGAAGGACAGGTAATGTAAACTTTTTCCATACGACGCGAAAAGTACAAGGGAGCCTAGTTTATCACGTTTGGTAAACAAAATTTGTGAGAGTGAGGATAGCTCAAATGGTTAGAGTTTCCCTCCCGGTCTCAAGAGATCTTGGGATCGATTCTCGTCATTAAGGTGATAAACTTGTATTTTCTCAAAAAATACATACTTTGTTTAAATGTTTTCATTTTTGGGGTAGTCTTTGAAGGGAGAGAGAATAGAAACAAGAGGATTAAGGGAAAGGGGTTGTGGTCTTGTGGATGGATGGGGTTCCGTGGGTGGTTTTGAGTTAGTAGGGGTTGGGTTTAGGACTTTAGAGTGGTTTGGGCTGATAGGGATTGGGTTTAGGGTGGTTTTAGCTAGGTGTGTGAGGGCGGTTTGGGCTGGTAGGGGTTGGGTTTAGGGTGGTTTTAGATGGATAGGGGATTAGGTGTTGGGTTTAGGGTGGTGCCATCGTGGTGGTTTGGGGTGGTTGTTCATTAAAAAAAATTTCTTTTTTTTTTGGGGGTTTGCCGATGGGCAAGGCTATCGGTGAAAATATATAACTGACGACCAATAATTTTGGTAAATCTATTACATACGAACAAATTATCGACAGACAATTACAGATGACATACAAATATATAGAGAGAGTTAGGGCGCGTTCAACATTAGCTTTTGAGTAGCTTTGTGGTTGACCAATTCTAGCCACTACTAAATAAAAAAAAAATTGAGTGTTTGACAATGTAGTGGTTGATGTTGTGTTTAGTGGTAAAGGTAGGTTTTGCCAAAAGCTAATATAATTAGCTTTTGAAAAGTATAGATAGCTATTGGTTTTTTTTAAATACCCGTATATTTTATAAGGTAACAACTAGTCAATCGTTGCTTTACCAAACACTCATACTTTATTATTTATCTTCACGGGTAACAATTTGTTCACAACCAATCGTTATTCTCATAGCTAGCTAACAATTACTACTGCAGCTAACAACCACATCTACATGCAATTACATTTTGCCAAACACGTCCTTAAGCAACAATGCATGCATTGCACGAGACCTAACCAAGTATTCAGAATTTTAGTGCCATAGTTGGATGTGAAAGATACATATTGTTCAAATGAATCGTAAACTATATATAATACTTTAAATTGTTATGTGGGATATTGTTAGATTCCTCACGATTTTTTTTTTTTTTCTATTATGTAATAAGAGAAATTAAACGAAGCTCAATAGTCAGATATATGGAGTAGTTCAATATTGCATTAAAAACTACTACTATGTAGTATATTTAAAAAAAAAAAAAAATGGAAAAAGAAAAAAAGGGAGAGATTATAATTACCCAAAAAAAAAGATAGAATAAAAAAAATAAGGGTAAATTGACCTCAACACTTTAAAGGTTAAACTATAGTTTGGGTGCAGTGCACATTAACACTCCGAACTTTGACTATTTATTGGCAACAAGGACGAATCTAAAAAATAAATATGGATTGGGCCAAATCATCAAAGTATATTTATAAGTTAATCAAGTTTTAGATTTCTACCACAAAGAAAAAGAAAGATTATTACTCCATAACTTTATAAGTACATATTATAATTTCTTAAGCCAAAAAAATTAAATTTTAAAAAAAGCCTAAGCATGTAGTAGTAAATGTAGTAGATAGCAATGTTACCAAATCAAAAATTGGAAAAATAAAAAACCACTGTCAATTGGGGGCAATAGGTTTCGAACACTAATAACACACAAGAGTTACACGGACAATGATCCAACCAACTCAGTCAAGTTAATTCCAATAAATGTATGTGCAAGTTAAAATAATTATACTTATTTTGGATCATGGGGCGGGCCATGGCCTAGCTGGCCACCCCCAAGATCCGTCATTGATTGGCACACTGTCAATATTGATTGGGGTGTGATGCATGTTGTTATAAATGGGTATATTTAGACACTCAAAATGAGACAATTCTGATAATTAAATGGTAATTGATGGCATGTGTTGCACTCTAATCAAAAGTTAGTGGTGTGCCATCGACTAGTCATAGTTTAGGGTGTTGGATGCACCCCAGATATAGTAATTCTTGATCTGTGCACCCAGGTGCCCATGGGCATGGTTCACCCGGTAAAAAAAATAGCAGAAAGAACATTGTTTAAATTGTAAAGAACTTGACATTGTTTTGTAAAGAACGTGTATGATATTGAGTTATCATAATAATTTTCTCTCTAACATTAATTTCTCTCAAAAATATTTCAAGATTTCATTTTCAATTACAAAATTTCAGTTTTCAAATTATTTTATTTTGGTCATATTTTTTCACCAATTTTTATTTATTTATTTTATGTATAATTATAATATTCATCTTAATAATGGACATGTGTATTTCTTGAGATATTCTTTATTTGATTTAATAATGTTGTTTACCTGAAAACATGACGTACTTATATTTGTTTGTAATGTACAAAAAATAATTAACACTATGTTCTTTCCATGTGTTCAGTATTATTATATCATATAATAATGATCTTTACTGAATTTGGTCTCTTGATAAATATTTTAAATGTCCATATTATTTAATTGTAATTGTAATGTACTTTTATAGTAACTTAATGTTCATTGCTTAGAGCAATTTCAATGGTTGTAGCTAGGGACTCACTTGCAATATTGAATATCTGACAAGTTGTATATTCTACGTGTTTTTAGGGTCTTTTTAGGTAGTTTTCGAGTCTAGATTTGTTGTTCATAGCTCATTTTGGCTTAATTTGGTTTGGTTGTGATCATATGATGCTTTTATGGGTAGATTCGTTGTTTTTGATGTACTCCGTATTTGAGGATTTAACGAAGCTATTTGAAGGTTTACGAAGTTGCAAATCTTGATCATAGCTTGCAATTCACTTAAAAGACCAATGTTTGAAGTTGAAGTCATTTAAAGCTAATCTCCAACCAGACATGCCCATGTCACTCAGAGACATGGGCGTGTCATTGTGCTTTGAAGAGGTAGAAAGTTGAATTTGAAGTTTTATTTGAGGCATGCCCATGTCTATTTGAGGCACGCCCATGTCGAGTCAAGTGCTTCGAGCTAGAAGCTACGTGCTAAGGGAAGCATGGCCATGTTGAATGCGGGGATGCCCATGCCTCGTCAAGTGAAGTTGGCCCAGTGATACACGCCCATGTCAGAATTTGACATACCCATGTCTTGCTGGAAGTTGAAGAAATATCGATTCTAACTTTGGGCACGGGTATGTCCTGTGTGGCACGCCCATGCTTGGTCGATTTTGGGTCGGTTTAGTCCTATTTCTTTTAGCCTTATTATAAATACTCTTTAGCACTATAATTTCATCATCTATCATCTTAGAACCCTAGTTTTCTCTCTAGACTTTATATTCATTGTAATTCAAGATTATGCACTCAAGATTCTTCGTTTATCTCTCGTAATTTAAGATTCGATATTTTCTTATTCTCTTTAATTCCTTTTATCGTTAAATATGTTTTCCTTAATTTTGTTATTGTTTTCATTAATGTGTGTGAGTAGTTTCCTAATTTCAAGATCTAGCGGAACTCGAATATGGTTAATGCATGATTTAATTCTATAAATTCTCTAATGATAATTGCAATTGATATGCTTAATTGATTGTGCTCATACCAATACTAGATTAGGGATAATTAGTACTGTTATTAATCCATTATTTTAATCGCAACGGGAGTTGAGTTTTGACGGGTTTGAATAAATCAATTAAGGGTTTGAAGTTCATCACGGGAGTAGTTGAATGGATGATTAGGAAGTTAGAGTAATGTGCTCAATAGAGTCTTTAATTTACATGATTCCACGGAAGTAGGCTTGATTGTGATTAAAGAAGCCATTGATAACTCGGGAGAGACCATTGGTATTATTAAGGATTACTTTTCCTCGTTAATCAATTGAATTATTTGTTAGGGGTATAACGACTATTGCGTTAATTGTATTCGTGTTAATTATATTATTTAGATTTAATCACTTTAATTAGTCCTTGAGTTTGTTTCATTAGTTAAACCATAGTCTCTTAGGATTCGATCCTTACTTGCCTATCTACATAGTAGTGGTTTTGTTAGGTTATTTTTGTTAGGTACACGACACGCCTATCAATATCCTTAGCTAATAGTTTGACCATTGGAGCTAGAAAATGCAATTAGCTTGCTATTGGAGTTGTTCTTATTGTATATTGTTTTTCAAATTTTGGTTTTGATCATGCTAGGTGGATATAAATAATGTTCATTACATAATATCATGTTCTTTAATTTATTTTTATTACGAATGATCTTTAGATATAAAAATCAATCATCAATAAAGGGGGGGGGGGTCCTATAAGAATATCATCATCAACCTTCATATTTCTAATTTTTACAAAAAATACACACAATTAGATGATATGATAATTAATATACAAAGAAATTTATGAAATTAACGAATTATATTGAAGGTTAAGGGTCATATTAAAAAATATATAAGAAATAAATTCAAATTACGTAGACACTAAAACACATACAAGTTTAACCCACGGAACATAATAAAGGAACAAACGAACATGAGCATAGAAGAACATGTTATTAAAGTAAAATAACATACTTTGTATTATTGAAATTCAAAGAGCATTTTTAATCTACAAACATTGAAGAATATAGTTTATAATATAAAGAACATATAGTTCATACCCAAAAAACATAATGATCAAACTCAAAGAACATATATTATGCTTGCGTTCTTTGTAAATGCAAGTAACGTTCTTTTTTACTCGCGTTCTTTGTACATATGTGTCATGTTTGGTGCACCCGGGTGTGCTATAAAAATTATTTCAAAGATATAGTTAAGGGTATTAAGACCAATTTTTTGGAAAAACAATGTACTCCTCAAAAAGTAAGTAACTTAGAAAATTCAATAAAAGTCTAGTCAAATTAAAACCAAAGAAACCGTGAAGTACTGAATAGTGAATATCCACTCAGACCTTTCCTCAATTATTTTTCGGAGAAAGTACTATATGATAATCATTTCAAGGAAAGAAGGGTGAAAATGCCAACCACACATTCACACAATCATCCTCAAAACACACTCTTTTAGTTATTAAGTAAGCTGTACAGCAAAATAATATCCCCAGCAACGAAATGTCAATTGAATTTCACTGGGGCAGCTCAAAATAAATAAACAATAATGGCTACAAAGGAGGAGGAGAGCAAGGAGCAGGAGCTGGTTAAAACCTTGACAAATCATGCAGCAGAGGAGGAGGACCGAAGCTTAAAGGCCACGGAGGCATTAGATCAGGAGGAGTCGGAGCAGCAGAACACCATAACTGTAGAGACAGTGTGGGTAAAACTTGGTAAAATAATTCATGGAGAAAGCATCTTTCTTGTAGGTCAGACCACTTTTCAATCTCCTTACATTCATACTACATTACTATTCCCTTAGCTTGTTTTTAGATTTAAGGAATATATAGATGCATCATGCATCATTGCATCACATTTTAGCGCAAAGCTAGTTAATCACAAACTGTACGTCTATACCATACTTTTTTCCCTTTTTGTTTTTGTGCAAAGCAAGATAGAGTGATAATGTACTTGTGATATACGTACTCTCTCTATTTTTTTTAAAATACATCACATGTCATTTATAAGGTTTTTTTATTTTTTTTATTTTTAATGCATCACTTTCATATTTCGTATTTGATAACTTTATTCCATATTTTTTTTTACAAAGTATGTATCTCTCTTTCTTTTCTAAAGCCCCACTAAAAATATTTTATCGATCATTTCTCACTTTTCATGATCCTGCTTAAATAATTAAAAAAACTATACTTTCTCATATAATTATCTCTCTAATGGTTGCCATTTTACTTTTATTCAAATAAATTAATCATCCACTTTCCCTCTTGCATTGAACATACTTCTTAGACTGATACTCCCGAATTGGTAGTTTAACAAAGTGTAACAGTAAATAAAGCCGAAAAGCAAATATAATAACATTATTAAAGCAAATTAACTCTCCTAAAAACTGTGTAATTGCATTAAAAAAACGGAGGAAATATACAAGTACTTCTATTATACTAAAGGACCGGACTAGATGGAGAATGTATATTAGACCCATTATACTAGGATATGATCATAAGAACCGAACTAGACAAATAATTGCCTCCTCTCCCCTTCTCTCTATCTAAGGGTATGTTCTATCACCTGATTTTTACTTATGAACTTATTATTAGACTTTATTAAAACTTATTTTAGTTGTAATTTATACTTGGATAACCCTTATTAAAACTTATTTTTTCTAAATTGAACTTATCGGAATTTAACTGAACTAATCCGAACTTAGAGTAGTTCCTCATTTATCTACTTCATAAACAATCAAATTAAGATTTGTGACTGTTTATCTTTTGTGAATGGATTTTAGCAATTGGGACTGTATATTTTTTTCAAATTGAATTTTATAAAAATTTCAGGGAAATATATGCAGTACATCAAATCACACTTTTGTCGATTGTAAATTCAATACCTGGATTGTATTTTGTAAATAAAAATTTAATTACACAACAAAATTGCCACTTGATAAATGTAACTTTTTGGTGCAGCAGGCCACACCGTATGGCAGGGGTTACCCGAGTTATTCAGTAAGGGGTTACTCGAGTTACTCGATCAGGGGTTACTCGAGTTACTCGGTCAGGGGTTACTTGAGGGGTTCGGACACTTGAGGGGTTCACTCGGTCAAGGGTTACTTGAGGGGTTACTCGTTCAGAGGTTATTCGAGTTACTCGGTTAGGGTTACTCGGTCATGGATTACTCGATTTACTCGATCAGGGGTTACTCGAGTTACTCGGTTAGGAGTTATTTAAGGAGTTTGGTCAGGGGTTACTCGAGTAATTCGGTTAGGGGTTACTTAAGGAGTTCGTTCAGGGGTTACTCGGTCAGGGGAGGGTTCAATCAGGGGTTACTTGAAGGGTTACTCGGTCAGGGGTTACACAAGGGGTTCGATCATGGATTACTTGAGCAGGTGTTACTTGGTCAGGAGGTAACTCAAGTAACCCTTGACCGAGTAACTTGAGTAACCTCGGCAACTCGAGTAACCCCTGACCGAGTAACTCGAGTAACCCCGGCAACTCGAGTAATCCCTGACCGAGAAACTCGAGTAACCTCGGCAACTCGAGTAACCCATGACCAAGTAACTCGAATAACCCTAGGCGCACAGTACTGCAGGCCGCATACAAAAAATTGTGTTTTAAGTATAAAAAATATTAACTTGAAATTTATCCTTTATTTTCTTTGGATTGTGATGGACCTGATGGTCAAAGTGTTGCAGGTAAAAAAAAAATAGAATTCGGGAACTGAAAGGTATTAGATTTTTAAATTTTTTTATTTTTTAAGAACGGACTGTACTGGAACATTAGATATTTGATTATTTGGTAAAAAGTTGAAAATATAACTCCTTGACTTGTAATCTTTGTATACTCTACGCACATCTAGCTAATTGATTAGTTCTATGCTCTATAATTTCCCTTAAAGCAGGTGTACATCTTAGCTATTATATAGCAGATTTCCAGTTTAAGGGGTTGATCTCAACGTTAACTAGTGATGATATGAAGATGATTTTGTTTCTAGCGGTCCTAATAACAAATGTCCAAGAAGGAGCAAAACCACTGTTGGTGATTCTTGTTGTTTGGCTTGCAGACGCTTATCTTGGCGACTGCTTCACTCTCATAATTTCATCTATAACGTACATTATTGTAAGTTTTTTTAGGGTACATTCAAGTGCATGTTTATTTATAAAACCTTATTTTGCTTTATGTGCATTCTATTAGGCTAATTTTTTATTTATCTGGATTTATATAAACTCATCAAAGTGTAATAAAATTTAGGATATGTTTTATTCACATTACTTTTACTTTATTACAACTTATTGAATCTTTTATTTTTTTTAAAAATTAATTGAAAATAAGATAACCCTTATTCTCAGCTAATCAAAACTTTTTTTTTTTGTTTTTTTTGGGCGATGCTAATAAAAAATTGTCAAAATTTTATGTGGCACTCATTCATCGCCTCATCGGTGCCGTATAAGATTTGAATCATCAATTTATTTTCACTATCAAATGGAGTAAAAAAATTGAGTATAGTGGACTAGTGGTAGTCACTCCTAAATAACTACCGTAGAATTTTTATTTATAAGTGGAGATAAGGTGATGGATAGAACATTACCTAAATTTAGTTGTAATTTGAACAAGTACCACCTTATGATGGTTGTAACAAAAAATTGTTAGTTATTTGGAATGTTTGTGTAAAAATAAGCACATGTATCACTTGACAAGAAAATAAAGTACTCCTTATAAAAATTTATTTGTGTTGTTGTTCCTTATAAGAGAGAGTATATTGGTTATCAAAGTGGAGGATAATTAGGTTGATTTTTATTAAAATGAATTTATTTGCATTGAATATTCAACTGTTAATATAAAAAACAGAGGTAGTATTATTTTTTAAGAAGAAGTGAACCATCTGCTTATAGTCCTTAGTTAAGATTGTAAAGTAATCCTTAGTACTTTTAAAATGTACAGGGGATGGCGATGTGGTACTCTGCCTTGTTTTTTATTGAGCCCAATGACGGTGCATATTTTTGGGGATTCTTAATTGTGGGACTATTGTTGATAATAGTAGGGCAATGTGGTTATGACAATTACACCAAAGAAAAAATTGCTGTTAGGAAGATTGAATTGAAGATGGCGAATAATGAAGAAGATAAAGGCAATAATGTAGAGGAAGGTGCAAACAGCAACCATGATCAAGACGGCGAAGAACAACAATTAAGAAGCCAAGATGGTAAGGGTCAACTTGCTTCATTATTCAACAAAAGAACAAAACAAGCATTGAAGAAACTTGTCATATTACTCAAAAACAATTGGATCCAAATATTAGGATTCTTTATTGCAGTGTTTGTATTTCCAGAAAAGAATATAGGAATGATCACCTTAATTAGTATGATGTTTGCAAGTTCTTTTATATTCTTAATGGGAAAGCTGTTTTTCTATCCTTGGAAGAAGCCTACGGGAAGCCCAATTTCTGCAATTTTTGCGGTCTTGTGGATTGCATTCAAGAAAAGGCATGATGACAGTGGGACAGAAACATACAGTGGAGATAATCAAGAGATTAGTACAAATGGCCATAAAGACAACCAGATTTGTTCAAATCGATTTGGGTATTGTTCTACTCTCTTTTCTTTACATAAATTTTTAGTAACTCTTTCGTGTTTTTTTATACTTCCTCCGTTTTTTATTAGATGCATCACTTTTGAAATTGCGCACTCTTAAGCAATTTTTGGAGTAGAGAGAGATACAGAGAAAAAGTAAAGAGAGCCCATGTGATATGAGGAAGATAGAAATAATTAACTAAAAAGGAAAGTAATACATCTAAATTGAAAGTTTCATATATAGAAAGTGATGCATATAAAACGGAGAAAGTAATCTGTTGATTTTTGCATAAATGTAGGTGCCTCAATAGAGCAGCAATGTATGATCCAACATCTGTAGAGAATCCTAAAGTCGAATTTGAGAAGAAGAGACTATGCAAGGTCCAGCAAGTGAAAGACACAAAAAGTTTCATAGGATGTATTTGCTTGTCATTATCGGTGTTCTTGACATATGGTGTGATGACTGCTGTAGCGGATACATTCTTCCTTGAGCAAGCAGATAAGATGGATACACAAATTGGCAGTTTTGATGTGCCCATCCAGCTATTCGTATATTCTTCAAGTGCTATTGAAAAGTTGGTGAGCAGTATTTGTAAGTGGATATTGAATAAAAAAGAAGAGGCACCACAAAGAAGATTTCACGGTGCATTACGAGTGGGTTTTGGGATGCTACTTTCAATCCCTTGTTTTGTCATCGCAGCTGTAGTCGAGGATAGAAAAACCTCGGTTTTGTGGCTCACTCCCCAGCTGATTTTGGTTGCAATTATGGATGGGATTGTTGTTGATGGAATAAAGGACTTTTTTAAGCGGGAAATGCCTGAATTGGTTGGTAAATCATATGGTAGCATACTCGCTGAAGGTGTTGTTGGCTTGGGGAAGCTACTCAGCATAGTGTGGTTTTGCTTGTGGTACTTTGCTACAGATTGGTTTGCTGAAGATATACAGGGAAGTCATCTTCATAAATACTATGCAGTTATGGCCATATTTGCGTTATGCAGTTGCATTTTGTATGTCTTGGTTGCATCTGTGCACTTCATCACTCAATCACAACCATCACAAGAGAAGCCTTCTGATTTGATAGGCGACTTGCCCTTTCAAAAACAAAGGATTTTACTGCCTAGTGAGTCGTTGCGACATCGCCCTTCTGCAAAAACGACTGTTGGGACTCACTAGTTTAATTACCTCTAGCAGATCGAATTGGTACTACTATTGATGTAATGGTGTGTTTGTTAATGCATTCCTTGACTTTGTGTTTCTTTCTCAACAGGCGTCAAGTATTTACATTACATTTGACTCACATAAATACGACGAATAGTTTCTCTGAATTCTCTCTGTCCCATTTTACAGACCACAATTGGGTTTTAGACAAAGGAATTGAAGGGAGTAATTAAGTTCTAGAGAGGGAACTTAATGCAGTAGAGAAGGCTTATAATAAACAGAGGAAGTTATAAATAAACCCAAAAAAGTCAAAATAAAGGCTTCAAATTTTTGTGAAAGGGTTGAACTATGTGAGTACAGTACCAATTTTGATCAATCAGAGTCAATATATTCGAGATTCTATGTCCCTGGTCATTTCTTGATGAGCTTAAACCAATTGATTTATGCTTTTGATTTCATTAACAATTGACAATAAAGCGTATAACTGTATTAGAATTAATTACTGTATTAGAATTAAGTGAACGAGTCAGCAATTTAAAAATAAAAGAAAAATATCCCACATCGAAAGTTTGCAAAGAAGGATCCGTTGATGAGCTCTATAAAACTTAGTTATATCTTGACTTTTATACTATGTAGTAAAGACCACGCAGTATCCCTAATAACTTTTCTTAGCTCTTTACAAACTTAAATCTAGCCATGGAGTTGAAGAGAATGTAACAACTTGCGATGTGAAAGAAACAACAGAGATAGATTAAGTGACTTGCCAGACTGTCTTCTCCATAAAATTCTTTCAACCTTAGATACAAAGTTTGTAGTTCAAACCTCCATACTTTCTACAAGATGGAAGCATATTTGGACCGATATCCCTTTTCTTAACTTCAGCTTCTCTGCTTCACCTCGTTATTTTTCTCCTACATCACCTGATTATCCTCCTATATCACCTGGTTATTCTCCTGCATCACCTGGTTATCATCCTGCATCACCTGGTTATCCTCCTATATCACCTGGTAATCATCTGGTATCACCTGGTTATTCTCCTACATCACCTAGTAGTAATCCGACATCTCCACAACATTACATTTATCAGGCTTCGCCTGGCACTGCAGAGAATTATCCTGTTATGCCTCTTTCACCTGGTTATTCTCCGTCTTCACTCGTGGCCTCGAGGTTGTTTTCTCCCTCTTGCTCTCTTCACAATGAATCAACAGATTACATTCCACATTTTTTTGCTAATCCTAGCCTTAACAACTTTATCACGATTATTGTTAAGGTTTTAATACGACGTAGAGCTTCTAAAATTGACAAGTTTACGTTCTGGACAAATGCTAATTTGTCCTCATTCTGTATAAATTATATCGTGTGTTATTTAGTTCGAGCAAACGTACAGGAGGTTGTATTTCATGCTGAAAATCACCATTCTACTGTCACATTGCCAGAATGTTTATATCTAAGCAAATCACTTGAAAAACTCCAACTTGAACTTCCTTATGTAACTTTGTCTAATGGTTTTCTTGCATTGAAAGAGTTAAGGCTTCATACTCTAACACCAGCATGGGCAGCATCTGGAAATCCAGACATTATTAGTCCTGAATTTCTGTCATCATGTCCTGCTTTGGAAAAATTGTGTTTTCAAGACTGCAGATTACATTCTTTGATTTTGAGAGTGTCAGCTCCCATGCTTAAGACACTGGAGATACTGAACTCGTCCTTTTCTCGGGTTGTCGTTTCCTCACCCCTGCTATCTTATTTTAAATTTGAAGGCAGTAATCCGGTAAACCTGTCTATGAGTGATAAATGTTGTTTGTTGGAGGAAGTGGATATAAATGTCATACATGATTATTCTGATGCTGAAGAGAAGGCAAGTAAACTTCTCAAGATGCTTAGGAAGCTAGCAAACACGAAATCTGTTGTCGTGTCCTTAGACACTCTCAAGGTAATTGATTCCACTTCAAAACCATAATACACATTCTTTCACGTATGTCAATTCTATAATCGTACACGTGAACCAGTCTTAAGGGACCAATGGATTACACACTTGAGTGCTAAACTGCTTTAATTTTTTTTTGTTATGTACACTCTATGGTGATCTCGAAGGTGCTCGATGCATTGGATGATAGACTTAAAAGTGAGCCATCACCCTTCCTTAGTTTAAAGTCGCTAAAACTAAAAACTAACTGGACAATGTGTGAAGGCGGATGGAACTTTCTGCTGAAAAATTCGCCGTCAGATGTTGAGACATCTATTCAGGTACCTTCACCACTGCCAAGGTAATAACTCTGTTCGTTTCCTCCACCTTCTTATAATCCTATCAAATTTATCAAAAAGTTACCTTAACACTGTTTTCAATATATACATATATATATATGCAGATTAACAATGAAGAACTTCAGGACATCTTATTAAACAGCTGCCTTACCCTGGACATACTCTGAAGTCTGGAATCCTGCAATTAGATTAGTATAGTTTAAGACTAGATATATTGTTTTAATAATAAACTTTTGAAAGTTCATCGAGACCTTAAATTTACTACAGCTAGTAGTATTAGCTATTAGCAGTTTGTTTTGACGAGGTCATGCCTTAATCTTGTTGGATTCATTTAATGTTTATTTTTCAAAATATTAAAAATATGTAAAATTCATTAAGATTAAATCAAACATATTATGTATTTCTTCAAAACTACCCTGTATAAAAGAAAAACAATGACATGAAGGATTGAAGGGAATCACTCGTATTGTAGATACGAGGGGACTTTACTTTAATTTAGCCCCATAAAGCTATAAAATATCATATGAAGTATTTGACATTGATAAAGAATTATGAAACAATCAATTCATAACATTAAGGAGATATTACATTTATTGCCATATAATTTTGGGATACAATTTTTTTGATACATGCCTATAAATGAAGCAAAAGAGTATTCCATATAATTTTGATTTGAATTTTTTCCCTGTATCTCCTCTTGCATAAGTTAAAGAAGTCATGCATAGTCAAGGAGATGACTATTTTTAATTTCATTATAATTTTTTATTTAATTTTTTATAAAAAATACCCAAAAAAAAAAATGGATCTACATTAAAAAGTCAAAAATATTTGATTCGGAATATCATGGCTTTCGTAGACTTACCGCGCGTAATTATTGTCCTCTCAGTTTACTTGTAATAAAAATATCACAGGGGCAGATGTGGCAGATACAACTTGATGCAATGGTTGACTTGCAATCTCATATATATACTTGTTTTGCCCGGGCACAAAACTAGTCTATATATAAAGGAGAGTTTTTTCTCGAGTTTTTAGGGGACCACATAGGATAAAACTTTCTTATGTGCCATGTAAGATTATAAATTTTATTAATAGCCAATCAAATAAGAGATTTGTAGATTCTTGTAAAATTAATAATTCAAATGCCACATACGTAAAATTGGCGAATGAGATTTTGGAGTTTAAATTAATTAGATATAATATAGGAAAAATTAGTCGCAACAACACCAATTATGACGAAGGTGCGTGTAACAGCACAACCTTTCGAGGGTGCACTCAACATCACAAACTATGCACTTGGATGCACATAACAACATAAATGACATTGGCATAACTCAGATACTACTTAATTTTCCATCTCACGTAACTAAGTAGTCTTCTCTTCCATTAATTGTTTTACTTTTAACATTATTCAATTTCCACCATCAAATTGAATCATTTCCAAAAGTTTTTGCCATTATTTTCTATCGTTTGTTTCTTTAATTACTTTTTTTTACATCTCATGTGATTGACTTAGGTGCCTCTTCCATTATAATAGATTTTTTCCCTTTAAATTATTCTCTCTCAACAACCACAATTAAAGTGTTGTACATCAAAAACCAGAAAATCAATTTGACATATCCTATAATCCAATTCTAATGTAGTTGTTTGAATTAAGTATTTTGAATCATTTAGTGGGGCTTGGCATTAGAAAGTTACTTATGTATGTATCCTGAAATCTGGTAGAATAAAGATTTTCAAATAATTTTTATTTATTTATCAATTTAATATTTGACTAAGTAGAGAGGGAAAGGAAAATAAGTCAATCGTGTGAGATCGAAATTAGAAAAAAAGTAATTGAAGAAACGAACGAAGGAAAATAATAGCAAAGTTTTTTGAAGGAATCTGCTTAAATGGCGGAGGTTAAGAAATGCTTAAATGAAAAAAAGGGAAGGCTAATTTATTCACGCACGATGGAAAATCATGAAAATTTAAAAAATGTTTAAACAGTTATAAAATAATGAAGTTTCCACTTATTTAATAGAACCTTAGTTCATTAGTGTCATTTATGCTAATATGTGCGCCCAATTACATAGTTCGTGCTGTGGACTGTACCCTTAAAAGGTTGTGATGCTACACACACCTTTATCATAGTTGGTGTTGTTGCGACCAATTTTTCCTATAATATATTATCACTAGATGGAAACCCGTGCGATGCACGGTTTTTTATACATAGATCTCATGAAAAAATTATTTTCTTAATTTAACCCTATAATTTTTTTTATTATTTTGCTTGTTAGAAAACGGATAATTTGTTTTATTTTTATGCAACTTATAATGCGACCTTAATTTACTAATATTAGTTATATGAAAATTATAAGTATGATAGATATTAGAATAAAATCATAATCTTGTTTGTATTTTTTTAACATATGATTCGTTTGTATAACAAAAATACGTTGTTCCACTATACATATATAGTTATAGAATCACTATTTTTCTTTCACAAACAATAACTTAGACCACCATTTTTCTTTTACTCTGTATCAACTTTATACAATGAAAAGTTAATAAAGTAAACCCAAAACTACGAAGTTAAAATAAAGAAAGTGGAAGTAATAGTAAAAGATATGACTTTATAAATTTTTAAATAGTTAAATGAAATATATATATATACGACCAAGAGTGTTGCATTACTAAAATTAATCTAATTGAATAAAATTAAATCTTTATAATGAAATTTTATTATCATATGTCTTAATAATAGTGTTATATGTATACACTACGACTACAATGATTTTTACAATAATATTATAGATATTCTACCATAAACTGTAATACACAAAAAATCAAAATTATCATAGACATCTCTTACAACCTTTAATTTTTTTCCCTACTATTGTAAAATTATAGTTGACTTAG